ACACACACACACACACACACACACACACACACACTTGTATCATTCAGTGGCTGTGCAACGTGTCCGGGGACTGAAAGCGATGCACACACAAATGCATCCATTCATCTTGCGAGCGTGTAGGCGTGTGTGTGTGTGTGTGCGTGTGTGTGAGTGTGTGTGTGTGTGTGACGGACTTCAAAGGCAGACAGGAATACATCTTTACTAAAGAAGCCCAGCTGCTCAGGGCCATTTAGCCCTGGACTCGCTCTCGCATCGCTCAATCAACAAGGGACAGTCTGTGTGTGTGTGTGTGTGTGTGTGTGTATGTGTGAAGCACGGCTCTGATAAACAATTCCTGCTCTTCACCTCTGGGTGCATTTATATTCTGCTCCTCACACACACACACACACACACAGGCGATCAGTGAGGTCGTCTGTTTCGGATGCACCTCCCCGCTGATATTCAGAGTATGGTGGCCCGACAGGGACACACACATGTGGGGTGCTGAACGTGACGTCCAGCTTTGAATCTTCATTCATTCATTCATTCATTCATTCATTTTCTTTTCAGCTTAGTCCCTTCATTAATCAGGGGTCACCACAGCGCAATGAACCGCCAACTTATCCAGCATATGTTCTCCGCAGATCATATGTGAAATTAGATTGTTTGCATTGTAATCTAGTTGTCTGAATTGTAATTTTGACTGCATGAATGATAGAATGCGATAGAAGACACTTGCTCTTTTTTGTCCACCTTTACCCCAAAATCAGTGTGACATAACTCAATGTGTTTTGGCATATTTATATGATTAGTATATGTCTGGGAACTGACGACAGAGATAATTTACATTAATATTATGCTTGGTTTGGTTTATATTAATATTGCATATTGTGGAATGAATTTGATTTGTTAAACTAAAAATAAATGGAAAAAAAAACAAAAGACATGAATGAATGAACAAATAAATGTATTTATAAAAATGAATAATAAGCATAACTTTTGAGACTATATATATATATATATATATATATATATATATATATATATATATATATATATATATATAAAATTTTATTAAATTATTTAAAATAAATAACCCATTACTTACAATTGATAACCTATGAAGTAAATAAATAACCTACTTGTGTTGTATTCATTTGTGGGCAGATATTAAACTAGCTGTATTAAACTAGCCAGCCGCATAGATGCAAAGTCACCAAAAATAAAAGTGTGTGTGTATGTGCGTGTGTGTGTGACTTTGACCAAGATCTTAGGTCATCAAACAATGAGTGTATATGTTGCTTTAGGACACATCAAATTAAGTCCAGTTCCCGGGCACTCTTCTGTAAATAAAATCCAGCGAATAATTGATAATTTCAAAAGATATATAAAACGATCCTCCATTAAAGAAACATGTCCAAAACAAATCGTTTCTAATTGTCAGACACCACAGGGAAAGACACAGCAAGTTAATGCTCAATCTTTCAATACTGTCTAATTTAAAAGTCGGAGCCACACGCGGGCGACCTTTACCTAAATGAAAATGGGTTGGAGTGGCACTGAAGGCTAGCGTTGGCCATTACTGAGGCCTTGATGAAGCCGGACCTGAGTGAACTGAGCTACAGGAGCACTCAATCGGCCGTCTGAAAGCCAATCACACACCTCGCTCCGACAGTGACGCCCGAGTCCAGGACTTGAGTAATGCTCACCCACTCGGCCCTGACTCATCCTCCATATAAGAGCGAGAGGACGGCGGCACTGCCAGCGTCTACATGCCATCTTCCTGTCTGAGTGTTAACAACTCCACAGAAGCGAGGTTCACGCCTACGCTTGAGCGCTATTCTGAAACCCAGAGAGCCGCTCGCTGCTCGCTGTCTGCAGCCCACGCCAAAACTCAACCTCACAAGCAGACATGTGATGCTGGAAGATCACTTGCCGTGATAATTAACACTATATACATTATTATGGCGATTACTGATCATTTTACAATGTGGTTCCAAAACAGTAAGAGATTTTTTCTTCTGTTGAATATCTGAAGAAAATATTTTGAGGAATGTTTGAGGACAACCGACACTGTTGACATAAATGGAAGCAAAAACAAATACTATAAAAGTCAATAGCTATATTTCCATCAAATTCTTAGAAAGCATAATAGCTATAAAGAGATGAGTAACTGTGTTCACATTAAGTCTAGAACTACACACTTGAAATGAAAGGTTCTTTATTTCCATTGATGGTTCCCAGAATAAACTGAACAAAACCTTGGTAGAACTAAAGGTTATTTATTATAGAAAATGTAAATTATTAATTAGTAAAATGTTCTTTAAGCTAAGAAAAGACAATATGGTTTTTCAATAGCATTGCTTTGAAAACTCCATTTTAGTGTTGTACAGTAACCAGCATGTTCACACAACCAACAAACTGTACTTATCCACAATTTCATGTAGACGTGATGATAAAAAAGTGAATATTTGAAAAAGCAGCTCAGGAATGTTTTGGAAAATAAAAAGTACCTTGTTACTTAAAAAAGTAATTGGTTTACTTGTAATCTGTTGCCACCAACTTCCAATAGAAAATGTCAAATTTTGTATTTGTTAAAAGAGCATTTGAGCAAACAATTTATAATAATACATGAATGAATGGATGACTGAATGACAGAATGAATGAATGAATGAATGAATGAATGAATGAATGAAAACAACTTAAGAGGAAGTCAGACATAAGCTACAGTATATCAAACATCAGATATTACAAAAAGTAGCTCAGGTATTTTCTTCCAAAGTAAAAACAAATTATTTGTTTGTTTTTTATACTTATAAAAAAGTATTTGGATTACTTGTAATGGATTACCCCCAACACTACTCAGTTTTCAAACAGCATTTTAGAGATGGGATATTAGGAAGATGTGGATCTTCTTCTTGTAAAAAAGCAAGGCAAAAACAGACCTACAGAAAATGAAGACTCAAAACAAGAAGTCCCATGCTCAAGCTATAATGGATGCCACATGTGAGCAGCGTAATGATCAGATATTTCAGTCAATTACAAAAAATAATGCGCTACTTGGGGAAAAAAGTAATGCAATTACTTGTAAACTGTTGCCCCAAACACCGGCAGCTTTGCGATGGAATAATCAAAGAATGCATGTGTGAATGAATGAAGCAACAAAAACAGATTAAATAAAAAAGTAATGTGTTACCTTTAATGCATTACCCCCAACACTACTATTATATTAGAATATTAGAAAGGTATGGATGAACAAAGCAAGGCAAAAACAGATCTACAGGATATTAAGAGTCAAAGCAAGAAGTCAGGTGCTCAAGCTATAATGCATGAAAAATGTGAGCAGCGTAATGATTATGTGAAAAAAGTAGGTCAGATATCTTCATCAATTAAAAAAAAAGTGCTACTTGAGAAAGTAATCGTATTACTTGTAATCCGTTGACCCAAACACAGACAGCTTTTAAAACAACTTTTTTTGAGATGGAATGATAAAACAATATATGAATAAATAAATGAATGAATGAGTTAATTAATGAATGAATAAAGCATCAAAAACAGATTCAATAAAAAAAATGTAATCTGTTACTTGTTACTTTTAAAAAAAGTTATTAGATTACTTGTAAAAGCTACTGACACATGGAATATTAGAAAGATTTGGATGATGAAAGCATGGCAAAAACAGACCTACAGGAAATGAAAAATCAAAATAGGAAGTCAGAAAGTCAGAAAAATAATGCGCTACTTATAAAAAAAAAGCAATGTAATTATTTGTAATCCGTTGCCTTAAACACTGGCAGTTTTAAAAGCAGCTTTTTTTGCGATGGAATAATAAAACAATATAAATATGAATGAATGAAGCAACAGTAACAGATTTGGATGACAAAAGGAAGGCAAAAACAGACCTACAGGAAATGAAGAATCAAAACAGGAAGACACATGCTTAAGCTATAACTCATTACACATGAGGAGAGGAATGCTTATGTGAAAGAGATAGGTTACATATTGTATTGTCAACTAAACAATGATTGCGTTACTCCAAAAAAGTATCAGATTACTTGTAATCCGTTGCCCCAAACACTGATCGTTTTAAAAAAATGTTGTTTTTTTGCAGTGGATAAATAAAACAATGAATGAAAGAATGACTCACTGAATGAATGAATGAAGCAACAACAAAAGATAAAAAAGTGTTACTTGTTACTTTAAAAAAAGTAATAAGATTACTTTTAATGCATTACCCTAAACACTAAACTGCTATTGAGAGATGGAACATTAGAAAGATATAGATGGACAAAGCAAGGCAATAACAGACATACAGAAAATGATGAATCAAAGCAGGAAATCAGGTGCTTAAGCTATACCATATGACACATGTAAGCAGCGTAATGATTATGTGAAAAAGTAGATCAGATATTTCAGTCAATAAAAAAAAAAATGTATGCACTACTTGTAAAAAAAGTAGTCTGACTACTTGTAATCTGTTGTCTTAAACACTGGCAGTTTTAAAAGCAGCATTTTTTGTGATGGAATAACAAAACAATATTAATATGTATAAAGCGACAAAAACAGATTCGCTAAAAATGTAATGTGTTACTTGTTACTTTTAAAAAAAGTAATCGGATTACTTTTAATGCATTACCCCAACACTACTGATAGATGGAATATTAGAAAGATTTGGATGACAAAAGCATGGCAAAAACAGAGCTACACGAAATAAAGAATCAAAACAGGAAGTCAGATGCTTAAGCTATAACACATGACACATGTGAGCTTTGTAATGTTTATATGAAAAAAAGTCTGATATTTTCGTTCATTAAAATAATGCACTACTTGAAAAAAGTAATCCAATTATTTGTAATGTGTAACCCCAACTCAACCTTTTTAAAAAGATGGAATAATAAGCGACACAAAGACATACAGGAAATGAGAAATCAAAACAGGAAGTCATATGCTCAAGCTTTAACACAGTACACATGTGAGCAGGTCTACATGTGTGATGCATAAAGACAAGAAACGTGCTCTACCTTTGCTCTGTGGTGGGTTCTGGCTGCGGTCTCGCAGTATGTTGATCTGGTAAACGGCTCCGTACGGCTCAAACAGCTCCTTTAACTCTTTCTCGGACCAGGAGCGAGGAATCTGACCCACGAACATCTTAATGGCGTCCGGATCAGGCTGGTCTGAATGCTCCAGAGCGCCGTTCATCTTCCCAGCTGTACCGTTACTGCAAAGACAGAAGAAATAAATGAGCGTTAAATGTGAAAACGGTGGTCTGGAAAATGGCGGGTGAAAAGGGTTGGTCTCGGAGCTCACAGCGAGAGTGAATTTGGGCCGGACAGATCGACAACTGCTCCTCATTAAAGCAGGAAGACAGTGAGACACAAGCGCTGATTAAAATCACAACAGTGTTATTACACTCAGCATGTGTGCGCTATTGTGTTTACAGTCCTGAGCAGGTACATTTCTGAGGCTGCCACGAGTTCGGTGGAAAATAGCAGACGGTCCTCAGTTCATAAAACTAAACAAAATGGAAGTTTTCAATGGTCGCCAACAAAGGAGGCACTGATGAATGAGACAATTATAAAAAATACACTCTTTAATATTTTTTAAGATTACTAACCTTAACACACATCTGTTCAGCTATGACTTTATGCTTCTTTTATTATTGTTTTACAAATTCACTTCATACATATATATATATATATTTATATATATATATATATATATATATATATATATATATATATATATATATATATATATATATATATATAAACGTGCCTTGTCAAAGATACACTAAACTGTTTTTTTTTTTGCAATATTTTTTTTTTAGTTCATCTCATTACTATGTCATTCAAATTATGTATATAAAGCAGAACATTTTAAATGACAAACATTTCCAAAACAACAAAAAAAAGGTGATTTTTGAAGTGATTTGAATGCATCAAGTAGACTTTCATTGTCAGCGCATTACTGAAAACACAATTTTGTGTTTCTTTGTTTGTTTATGGGTCAAAAACTGTGTAAGTGGATCAACAGTTTATGTGTGTAATGTATTTTATCTATGTATTTAAAATGCATTTAATTTGATATAATTAGAAAGCATACGAATTTTAAGTAAAGAGACCATCTTAAACGGATGGTTCACTAAAAACAACGAGTTTCTAAACCTTTATATCATTATATAAACAAAACGATATGTCCAGATGAATGTTGGTAAAAAGTGGTCATTGATACCCATATTAAGAACAAAAATGGTGGGAACTATAGGAAAAAAATACTGTAGGATTCATCAGTTGTTTGTTTATTTATTTATTTACTGAATTCTTCATTATATCTTTGAGGTGAATAAAAAATAAATATATACTGAGAGAATTACAATGTGTGGGTGAACACGTTTAATGTTTTTTTCTAAACCTTTTGAACAAAAAGATATCTTCGGATGAATGTTAGAAAAAAAAAGCAGTCATTGACAATTATAATAGGAACAAAAAATTGTAGGAACAAAAAAATACTAAAGGATTCAACAGCTGTTTTTTTCTTTTAATTTATTTGTATTAATGTAAATAGTAAAAACAAATTAAGAAACCAGCTAAAAAATGCTGAATTTAAAGAAAATATTTTACTGAAACCCTTAACTGCTGACACTGAATATATTTCACTTAAACACTGAATATATATATATATATATATATATATAAATATATATATATATATATATATATATATATATATATATATATATATATATATATATATATATATATATAGTTAAAAAAGTTTAAAAATTTAAAAAATAGGAAACAAAATTTCAAGTTGCATTACCCTTTCCTGTTTCTGATTCTTGAAAACGGGCTAAATTATAGTTTGTGGTATTTGACAGCACGTGAAAACTCAGACCTCATCATCCTTTTCAACTCTTCTATCCGAATGCACCAAAAATCTTGACCGGCTAAATTGTCTAAACTGAGCTGGATCAGTGTGCGACCTCCAGACGCTCATGTTGCCGGTTCAGCGAGTTCATGAGGAATTTCAGCCGCTTGTTTCACTTCCACATCAGAGCTCTGAGCGAGAGAAATATCGACCCCGAACATGCTCACATTTCCTTCTTTACCAGCCAACAAACAACAAAACCACCCAGAAATAATAATAAAAAAACTGCCTCAGCAGGACTGTCTACAAGATTTAATATTAAGTTTGCTTTGCTGATCGAAGGCCAACCTGCCTGTTGCCCTTCAAATGATATGAAAATGAAGAAACATCAGATAAATAAACGCTTCTCTGCTCATAAGCATTTCCTCATGAGATTAATTATCGCAGTAAGTATTCTTTGAGTAAAGTCTTCAAGAAAAGCACTAGAATTTCTTCTCTTATAAGTGTGCTTCACTCCAAGGACATTTTGATGTAAATTAAGCACTATTTTCTGTATCAAAGGAATCAGATTTTTTTTTTTTATTCGGGATAAACTGTGCTGGTCTGACAGTGTCATGCTAATTAATCTGGTTTAGGAAATAAGTAGATTTGACGAATTAAATATGAAAACAAAAGAGATTAAAAAAATTAAATGACAAAATTAATTAAAAAAAATTTAATCAATCAAATAAATAAGATAAAAAATATATTTTATTTTACTCATTTTAATGAATATAAAAAAGAATAAATTAAAGAATAAAGAATAAATGAATGAATGAATGAATGAATGAATGAATGAATGAATGAAGTTAATTAATTTAAAACTTAATAGATGTTGAAGGATAGATATAGATATATTTAGATATTTGGACTATAAAAGCATTTCTATTTATTTATTTATTTTTGCAGTGCAGGCAAATCCATTTTGCAGTATGTCAAATAATAATTTTACATTTTAATAACAACAAAGCACAAAAATAAATGAATTTAATCATGTATTTTATAATTAAATGGTAATTAAATGATACATATGTAAAATACTACTACTACTACTACTACTACTAATATTAATAATAATATTAATAAAAACAGAACTCAATGATTAATAAATACAGCAAAAAAGTCTCAGAGAGAAGGTGTAAACTCAAAGATTTTAGGTTAAGAGACAAATTAAAACAAGTACAAACCTAACAAATAACTATAAGTTAGGGCTGCACAATATACGACATTGCAATATTTAGTTTTTCATCGATATACAGTAAATTACAATATGAAATATATTACACCAAATGGATTTCTGTGAAGAATTC